ACTGCTGTTCTGGGGACACTCCCTCTTGAGGTCCCTTTTCTTCCACGTGGTCTGTTTCCCAGGCCCTCTACTGCTTACTTTATGTCACCTCTCACCTCTACGAAGTTCTTGGGATTTTCCAAGGACCCTTTCGGAACCCCTCCCCAGCCAAAGCCTCTGTCTCCCTCCACCTGTGGGGCCATCCTCACCTCATAAGGGTTAGGTTTGGTACTGCCGGGGGGCACATAGCGCCCGTGGGTGTGGTAGGTGGGGTACTCGCTCATAGGATGGTAGGCATCTCGGGTGGGAAAGATGTCCAGCTGCCCACAGTTCTTCTGGCGGCACTGATGCACAGTCTGGGGAGACAAGAGGTTACGAGGAGCCACAGGGCTCCTTCTGGCAGGGGGAGCCTGGTCAGGGCTGGCGACCGAGCACTTACCAGGGCAACGAGATAGATGACGGCCAGCACAATCAGAACACAGACCAGCACCAGCAGGGCGATGCCCCAGCCAGGTACCCCAGACCCTGGCTGGGCCGAGGAAGGATAAACCACTGAAAGGAAAAGCGGTGGTCAGGGCTGTCTGCCAAAGGAGGGGCCCTGCCCCTGCGAGCACCAAGGGGGAGCCAGACGCTGAAGAGAGAGGGGCCTGTGCGGCACAGCGCCGGCCCGCAAGCCAGGGGCATGGCCTCGCCGGCCCGCAAGCCAGGGGCATGGCCTCGCCGGCCCGCAAGCCAGGGGCATGGCCTCACCGCTCAATCGCGAGACGTCCAGGTTGTATTTGGCTGCCGCTTCCCGCTCCTTTGCGGCCCACTGTGCCTCCACCTCACTGGCACTGATGGTGTTTTCTCGAAAGGCCAGAGTCGATTCCACCGCCACAGAGCCTGGACTGCTCACAGGGAAGTGGGCAGCTCAGTCACGGGTCCCAGCTGCTGGGCACTGCCCCCCAACCACGAGTGCAGCGGTCCCCCCTCAAGGCATGCACACACCCCACACAGAGTCCGCACCCAGAACCCTACCTGAACTTTACATTAGAGGAGCCCAGGAACCCCTCCTGTGTGTAGATCTGCAAATACTGGGGTGAAAGAGAAGCACTAAGCCTTGGCGCACAGGTCCGGGCGGCTCCGCGGGCCGCGGCGGGGAGCGCGTGGAGTAAGGCAGATACTCACCAGCTCCGAAACGTTCCTCTGCAGCGCCTTGAAGTAGGCAGTGCTGGGGTCTTCCAGGGAGGAGTTGAACGGGAGGTTCAGAATGTGGAAGAACAGGAAGTAGACGGTGATCCTAAGAGGCTGGAGAGTAGTCCGAGTGCTGGGGGGGGTGGGAGGTTCTGTGCTGTGGGCATTGCTACTGGTAGCGGTCCTGGCACTGGGGCTGGCAGAGGTGGTTTTCGGCAACAAGGTGGCATGGGGGGTGATGGTGGAGCTGGAGGTCAGATCCGTGGCAGTTGAGGTGGCACGGGAGGTGGGCACGGTGGCCGGGCTCAAGGTTAGATGTGTGGCATTCGGTGACGAGGTGGCACTGGAGGTGGGTGCGGTGGCCGAGCTGGAGGTCAGATCTGTGGCGGTCGAGGTGGCACGGGGGGTGGGTGTGGTGGCCGGGCTCAAGGTTAGATGTGTGGCATTCGGTGACGAGGTGGCACTGGAGGAGGGCACGGTGGCCGAGCTCGAGGTTAGATGTGCGGCATTCGGCGACGAGGTGGCACTGGAGGAGGGCACGGTGGCCGAGCTCGAGGTTAGATGTGCGGCATTCGGCGACGAGGTGGCACTGGAGGAGGGCACGGTGGCCGAGCTCGAGGTTAGATGTGCGGCATTCGGCGACGAGGTGGCACTGGAGGAGGGCACGGTGGCCGAGCTCGAGGTTAGATGTGCGGCATTCGGCGACGAGGTGGCACTGGAGGAGGGCACGGTGGCCGAGCTCGAGGTTAGATGTGCGGCATTCGGCGACGAGGTGGCACTGGAGGAGGGCACGGTGGCCGAGCTCGAGGTTAGATGTGCGGCATTCGGCGACGAGGTGGCACTGGAGGAGGGCACGGTGGCCGAGCTCGAGGTTAGATGTGCGGCATTCGGCGACGAGGTGGCACTGGAGGAGGGCACGGTGGCCGAGCTCGAGGTTAGATGTGCGGCATTCGGCGACGAGGTGGCACTGGAGGAGGGCACGGTGGCCGAGCTCGAGGTTAGATGTGCGGCATTCGGCGACGAGGTGGCACTGGAGGAGGGCACGGTGGCCGAGCTCGAGGTTAGATGTGCGGCATTCGGCGACGAGGTGGCACTGGAGGAGGGCACGGTGGCCGAGCTCGAGGTTAGATGTGCGGCATTCGGCGACGAGGTGGCACTGGAGGAGGGCACGGTGGCCGAGCTCGAGGTTAGATGTGCGGCATTCGGCGACGAGGTGGCACTGGAGGAGGGCACGGTGGCCGAGCTCGAGGTTAGATGTGCGGCATTCGGCGACGAGGTGGCACTGGAGGAGGGCACGGTGGCCGAGCTCGAGGTTAGATGTGCGGCATTCGGCGACGAGGTGGCACTGGAGGAGGGCACGGTGGCCGAGCTCGAGGTTAGATGTGCGGCATTCGGCGACGAGGTGGCACTGGAGGAGGGCACGGTGGCCGAGCTCGAGGTCGGATCCGTGGCAAGCACTGGCACCAGCAGCAGCGAGAGGAGGAGAGGGGCCTGGGCGCCCCGCGACATGGTGTTGGTGACCTCGGTGGGGAGGGGGCAGAGCAGACTGGAGCAGGGAGCCGGCTGGTGTGAGGTGAAGCAAGCACAGGTGCCTGCTGCTTTATACCGGTCCCCCGCCCGCCCTAGGCTCAGCCAGAGCAGGTGACAGGTGACAAAACCCAGCCCCTCCTCCCCCCACCTCCCATCTCTTCCTCCTCCTCCCCAGCCATTCCTGTCCCCTCAGGTCGGCCCCATGGGCTTGTCACTCAACCTTCTGACTACCTGTTTGTTCTTGGCGGGCCTCCCCCCCTCCCCAACCACTCCCTGGCTCCAGAGGCGGTGTGTGCGGGGAAGGGAGGTCAGGGACCTGGGTCCCCAAGGCTCTAGTTTTAGCTCCAAGGCAACAGAACAGCCAAGGTGAGACAAGGGACAGAGATAGTGGGCTAGGTCAAGGCGGGGAAATTCATCCTCAGGTCCCCCGCTCTACTCCCCATTCTCCCTGGGCCCCTGAAGCTGCACTTTGGGGGCGGAGAAGAAATGGGCAGGCTTTACAAGGGGGGGACTAGGTGCTAGTTTGGGACCCCTCCCCCACCACTTCCCGGAATAGCCCCACCCTGAAACCGCTCCTGGTCCGGTCCGTTCCGTAAGCAGTTCTGCCCCGAAACCCACAGGCCCCGCCCCTGCCGGACTTGCACGCAGCCCGTGTTCCTTCCTTGCTTTTCTTCCGAGAACGGACGGGGAAAGAAATTTCCACCTAAAGAAGGACAGGACCCGGGCCCGGCTGAACGCTAGGCTCTTTCCTTCCAGTCCTCCACCTGCTAGTGGCGGTGGCGGGCAAGGCTGGCCGGGCTCTCCTGCCCTCTAGTGGTCACCGGGAGCTGGACAGCGCCTGCCCAGGCGGACGCGAGGACTGCCCTTGCCGCGGATGGCGGGGCGGGTGTTGAGCGGCGCTGCCTAACTGGGGGCAGAGAGAGGCTGGGGAGAGCAGCGCCCCAGCGAGAAGTCAGTGGCTTCGACAGAGAAGGGAAGGAACGCACCACCGTGACATCGATGGAGAGGCTGGAAACTTTAGGAGGGGACCCTGGGGCGCACGGAGCGGTGTCTGACGGAAATGGCGCTAAGAGGGTGGGGTCCCGAGGTACATGGAAGGGTCACCAAGGTATGTGGGAGAGGACATCGGAATGTGGGAGGGGTAATGGGACAGGTTACGTATTTAGGAGGCAGAGAGTAGGAAGGGTGACAATGGTATTTGGGGGCACGGAACTATACTTTGGGGAGCGGAGTTGTATTTGGGGCAGGTAAGCACGTGGTAGTGGGAGCAAAACTGTATGTGAGGGTGCGTAATTCTGGACGCCCGAGAGGTATTTGGAAGGGCAGAAGTATTTGGGACCAGGGCGGTATCTGGGGTCAGAGCGGCACGCGGTGCTTAGAGTGTCCGACCCTATCCAGAGGTCGCGAGTTGCGGTCTCAGCCAACGAAAGCCGTACGTCGGCGTTAGGAAAACAATTCTTAGCCCCAAGAATAGAGTGAAAAATTGAACTTTAAAAATACTCCGGCGCGGCGGGACTGGAGGGAAGGCAGCCGGGAGGCGAGGGACCACCGCTCCGGGGCGCGGCCCCGCCTCGCTTGGCGCGGTGCTGCGCG